ATCTGAAAGGCCTTCAAGAATCTCGCTTCGGGGTGGCTAAATAGAAAGTGCAAAAACCATGTACAAGTTTGGGTATTTTGCAATTCCTGACGTGTTTTGGCTGGTAGTGTTACTCTAAGCCAAACGATCACACTTTAGAACATCTGCTGATACCTTCCACCCTAAGCTCAAGATATTTTACACTCTTTATTGTATTTTTTTTTTTTTTTTTCAGCTACCCAGCTCGGCTGGTCATCCTGGTCACACTACACCCCTTGTGATGAGCACTGTTACAAAAGCAGAGAGCGATACTGTTACAATGCAGGGAACCCTCAGTCATGTGCTGGATCACCTAATGTTTATGGTATCGAGAGACAAAATGTTTCGTGCTCAGCTAGTGATTGTCCAGGTACTCTAACATTATGTAGCAGCCTGTTTGCAGTCCGTCTGCAATGCATTTGCCGTCATTTTATTGCTTCTTTATTTATCGATTCCCCTTTCGAATTTCTCATTCCATCAGGCAAAACACGCAAAAATTAAACTTAAAAACCTAGAGCTTTAATCATTTTCCCTTCTAATTTTGGCTCAGTAGGTATAAGACAAAGCCTTTAAGAAGAAATGTAGCTCTAAAGCCGTCTCATTAGTTATCAACGCTGTTCCCTTCAGTTTTAAACGGCAACGTGTCACTTCTTGTGAACGAATCTTGGTCCACAGAAGGACATAACTAAATTCGTAACACATGAAGAAAACGGCCCTGTACTGTAGGCAACAAATCTGCACCTTATTGTAGAACTTATATGTGAGCACACTGCTAGGTTAATCTTTCCCTTTTGTCGATCGCTTCAGCTATCGACGGACACTGGGGCCGCTGGTCAGATTGGTCGAAATGCAGTGTCACATGTGGTGACGGTTATAGAACGAGATTTAGGAAATGCAACGATCCAAAGCCCATGCGTGGAGGTCTGTACTGTCCAGGAGCGTCAACCAAGTCAGATGGTTGTGTTATGAAGAGATGTGTCCTCGGTAAGGATCTTGTTTAAAACTGCGCATGTGCGCTAGTTACTCTTTAGAAACCAGCATGTGGTTTTTTGAAGCGCTTCACTAAACAGTAGACGATCATTAACATTAGAAGAGTATATCACTTCAGAGCACAAATGATTTCTAGACGGCTTGGTGTTCACTAGAACAAAACATTGAGAAAAGTATGCTAATGCCAAAGAAATAGAATTAGAGTTAAAAA